TGAACCGCCTGATGTAGGAACGAAGCCCCTCCTTTTCACCCTGCTGAATTGTTCCCAAATCAAGGGTCGTTTTCTTCGCAGGGATGTTCATTGCAAAGTTGGAGGCAAATAAGTAAGCAAGCGTCCTGAAACTGTTTACACAACCAGTCGGCAGGTTGCCGAACCATTGCTGTGCAATTCCCTTGAGAGTTGCTGGGAAACACTTGCACCAAGTGGGATCATCCAACCCTTGAAGGTACATCAGGTTGGTGAATGCCATCAGATGGTCTTCCGGGTTAGTAGTGCCATCATAGGCGCCTACTAAAACATTTTTTACTTTGGCCGGCTGAGCGGCTTCAGTAATTTCCTTGGAGAAGGCCGACGGCTGTTCACCAAGTCTAAGCAGCCGTAGCTGCCAGTCCATAGGTTGGACGTTTTTTGCTGCAGGTCCACCAAATGGAGGTGGCTGCATAAAATATTGTTGTTGCGGCACAAATGGCAAATTTGGTACCGCCTGCGCACTATGAAAGCCAGACTGTCGGGAGGTGCCGCCTGACTGACTCTCATGGTACGACTGAGTTGGCCTCATCGAGGCATTTCGCAAACTGTCCTGAAAATTTGAAGTAGAAGCCGACTCTGATAATCGGTCACTCCTCTTCTGCTCTAGCAGGTGCCGAGCATCTGTGAACGTTTGCTTTGACCCGTCCGCCTGAATATGACGAACCGGTTTCCTATTTCCCGTAGGATAACGGAGTTTTGTGAAATCAAGAGCAGACGGCTCCCGCTTCTTAGATTTAGGATGGGGAGTCGCCTCTCGCCCTTGAACTGGCTTCCTCTTCAGTGAAGTGGAAGGTTTTTTGGCCGCCTGCTCTTTGACTGAAGCAGGCGGTTTTTTGTTGATCAACTCTTGGATCTCTCCCTTGAATCCCCTCATGAAGGTCATGAGTTCGTTCCTTGTGATCGGAGCAGACCCATCAGTCGGCTGTTGCCGAGCAAGCGGTGCGCCTGCTGGCTCGCTTCCTGTTTGAAGATACTCCCGTTCCCTTATTTCAGTATGACGGGTACGGCGGGCCCTTAGGGTCCCGTCTGGAGCTGTATGAGTTTCAACTTCAAATTCACTTTCGGTATCATGGTCCGACTGAACTTGAGGGTCGTCTAGGGGACGCCTCTCTTCTGGGGTCGGTACAGACTTGGATGCCATCTCTGAAGTACTCTCCCCACAGACGGCGCCAAATGTTTCGGGGTTTTCTGATGTCCTGCGGGAGAGTTACAATTCCGAGACTGGAACCGGACGCCTGTACCTGCAAAATAACGGAGACTCCTGAGAGCTCCGCCTCCAACGGTCAAGTTAGTACCTGATTAAGGAGTAATTAATACAGAAATTAAAGTAATAAGGTCTCTCTAGGTGAGAGTATTTAATGTAGGTAATCTGCTTTGCTAGCGAGATCAGCCGGTTATTAGTGTGTTCCGTAAATTATTCGGTCCTTTGATTAATGAGGATTAATCGAGTATTTATAGCCTTGGGAAGCGTGCAACTCTCTAGGTTTAAGGTAAACCTAGGGCCGAACGGGCTTCTAGACTGAAATGGGCCTTGATGGCCGGTTGTCCCATTTGGCATGGGTGGACACGTGGCGTGTCTTAAGTGGTCCGTGGAGGACGCGTGGCGGAACCTGGTTGGTCCACTTGTCAAACGGCGCTTGGTGGATAAAAATCCCCTAATCACCTGCCACTTCTCATCTTTTGAATCAATCACACCGCAACCCGTTTCTTAATTCCAACCAATTCTAGTCCAACTTTTAAGTTCGTTCCAAGCTTTAAATTTTGTTCTAATGTCACTATAAAAGTTTTCCAATTGTTTCTTTTTGAAGTCTTTCCGTGTTTGTGCATTCAAACGTAATAGAATTGTGTCCCAATTATACTTGCCACCTCTTGACCATTTGTTTTCTTTTATTAAATCCAAAAATATCTCAATATCCTCATTGTTCCATGATGTCCTTCGCTTAGATTCCCTTGTGGCTTTGCTAATAAATAAAATATTCAAAGCAATGTTAACTAATTGAAGTAAATAAGATACTAATATGGGTGATGTTGGGACTTACAAACAAATATAGGTGCTAAGAGCTAAAATGCACAAAACAACAAACACTCTAAAGCAATACTTTAAAAACCAAGGTACCCGTACAATTCAATTCAGAAATTCGTGTAAGTTAGCAAATCATATCCTTGTATATGAAATAAATATTGCCAACGATAATGGGAGATAGTATAACATATTTGAAATTAGTAGCTAATATTTCATGAGATGATTCACGATGATCAAATCACACTTTTTTTTTAGCTGCGAAAATAACAAATTCGTATAAGTTAGCAAATTCATGACTTTACTATCCATTCAATAATTAATAATATGAGAAAAAGCAGCAGCTACATTGTCTCCATTTTTTATCTTAAAGCTAGTGAAATTTAATCCACTTATTAAGTACGGAGTAGTTCTTATTTTTAATTAAAGATATATGGTGATTGGAAAAAAATGATTTTGGACTCCTACACCATAGTTATTTACATGATTCTTTGATTTCATTCGTTGTCCTTATTGTATCTTTAGCTTTTCATGCAAGTATGGACTACATAATACTACCTCCGTTTTTATTTAGTTGACACGTTTTGACTTTAGCACTATTCACACACTTCCTTTTGACCGTGTTTTGTGCTTTATACGTAATGAAAAATATAGTCGTGTGAGATCTTGTTAGATTCGTCACATTATATATTTTCAACATATCAACTTTTTGTTTATCGAAAATTGAAGATATTGATGATTGAATAAGTGCATTGGCAAACGTGACTAAAAAAACGTATCAATTAAAAAGAAACGGAGGAAGTATGATTTATTGTATTTAATATTTTTTTTAGTACAATATATAAGATAAAAATACTACAAAATAAAGTATGTACATGTAAAAAAAAAATGAACAAATGTGATGTAAAAAAAACACGGCAAGCACGCATTTATACTCTGTCTCACTAGTGGTCATCTTACTTTAGCAATCACTTATTCACGTATCATGTATTACACAAACGTATGAAAATAAAAATGTCGATGATAATGTAAAATAAAAATCAGGATATTTTGGATTTTAACACCTTACAAAAGGCTGAAAATGTTTTTTAACACCCCCCAAAAAAAAACTTTTATTTTAACACCTCCCAAAAATATAAAAGTTGGAAGTTAACACCAAAATCCATCTTCCGTTAACAGAACTGTTAGTGGGGCCCACCCCAACGGATATATTTTTAAAAGATCTGTATATAAGAACCATTCTTCCACGATTCTTGCACGATATATAAGAACCATTCTTGCACGATTCTCCCCCAATGAACGAAATCGTTGTTCTTATTGAATAGCAGCAGCGCATTGCATTGTTGCACGATACTTGAAACAATTCTTTCACGATTCTTCCACGATTTTTGAGAAGAGGAACAGATTGAAGCTGCTGAAACAGGTGAGTGCGGTCAATTGTTCGGTTGTTTGGTAATTATGGTTTAAATTCTCTTCAATTATTATTTGCAATTGTTTCGTACTCAGATTAATGGTTGGATTATGTTATGTACGCATCTAAATGCCCAATTGCGAAATTAGGGTTCGTCAGAAATTGAATTTGGGGCTTTTCGTATTATGAAATTAAAAATGAATTTTGTTGCTGTCAATGTTAATTCGTCAGTGTACAAATCTGTAAATGTGACTGTCGATCTAAAATTGATGCAGATTATGTCGTTTGTTAGCTCTTCCCCTCCTGAGGCCAGAAAATGTAAGTGTGGTGTGCCAATGGCCAAGCTCACTAGCTGGACAAGGGAGAATCCAGGCAGGAAGTTCATATCATGTAAGTTTTATGACCCAATAACAGAAACAAGGGGTTGCAAAGCTTTCGAATGGGTTGATCAACCTGATGGAACAGATTGGCAAACAGGGGTTATCAACAACCTGTTGTTGGATAAGAAGCTGCTAAAGGGTGAAGTTAATGAATTGAAAAGGGAAGTTGATGAAATCAGTGGCCAAAGGAGGTGCCTACTTAATGAAGTTGATAATTTGAAGATGAGATGCAAGGCCTTGAACGCTGACAGGAAGAGAATGAACAGGGAGTGCAATGAAGGGAGGGTGTCTTCAATCAGCTGTTTTGGTTGGGTGGGCATGGCCATTTGTATAGGTTTGTCAATGGGTGTAATTTTCCTAATGGCTAGGGGTGTGTAATAGTAAGCTGTATTAAGTAGTTATAATTTCTTGTAATGACTTGAAGTGTTATAAATATGTCTTTTAATCAACCTATTTATGCCTTGTCTAAGTTCCTATTTATGCCTTGTCTTTTAATCAACCTATTTAAACATGTGAAACATTAAAACATGGGAAATATGTGAAACACTAAGATAGTTCAAGTACAGGTTGACAAAAGAACCTTACTTCAACATGTTTCAATGGCAATCAAAGCCATGCAACCATTACAATTCAATATCTAATTGTTCAAATTTGTTAAGGGAAGCCACTAAAAAACTAGCAAGTTACATAACCAGTCATGAGTACATAATAAAAGTTTGAAATTGTTCAACAGACATAATGTTTGATATCCAGCATGAGTACATCACTGAGTAAGGTTGTTGAGGGATTGCAGCCTGGCCCTTGTTACAACACCTGTGGCTGTTGTAGGCTGACTTGAGGAAGACCTTGTCTTTCTTTTTGGTTGGCTTGAGGCAGGCTGACTTGAGGAAGGCTGAGCTGAGGATGGCTGACTAGAGGATGGCTGAGCTGAGGAATGCTTAGCTGAGGAAGACTGTGGCTGTGGGCGCTTGCTGAATGGCAGACAACCTTCTTGCTCTTGAGGAAACTTTTTGTTTCCTATGCTGTTTGGTCCAGCCCCAATTGCACTCTATGACATGCATATAAAAATAAAAAGTCAATGGAAAAGACACATACATATATAAAACAAAGGGGGAGTTGGTGTAATGCTTGTGTTACCTTTTTAGCAGCCCTAATCTCTTTCTTCTTCATCGAGGAATTTGATAGACTCCATGGCAATTTCATGCTCAAACTGACATATAAAAGCATACCAGAAATCACACCAAGCATATACAAGCTAACCAATATAAAAACACACCAACAGTCATATAAAAGCATAGGCTAGCTTCAACAATCAATAAACTTACAATGGTGGTGGCCCTAGCTGCTCTCCAAAACAGCTCCTTAAAGGTTGATCCAGTGAAGTTGAGCTTGAAGTTAGCCCAAATATGCCTCACACAAAACCTTTGCTCAGCTTTGGGAATAACATCAGCCATTGCTTTAATCAAACCCTACCAAATGCAGACAAAAGTATAATCATCAGTCAATCACATACATACACATGAAAACTTAGAAATTGAACCTAAATAGTTAAGAGGGAAACAGAAGCATTACCTTTTGCCTGTCAGACATGATGGTCAGCCCAGCTCCTTGATCATGTGTGAACATTGACATAAGGGATTCCAAGAACCAACCCCAAGTTTCCTGGTTTTCAATCTCCACTGTGGCCCAAGCTAGAGGAAACAAGTTGTTATTCCCATCCTTAGCAACTGCCACCAGAATTTGCCCAGGAAAGGCACCCTTGAGGTGACAACCATCCAACCCTATTAAAGGCCTACAACCCTTTGCAAATCCATCTCTCAATGGCCTTAAACAGATGAACATCCTCATGAACAATGGTGGCTCTGGCCTGTCAATACCATCAACAACAACATTGCACCCTGAACCAGGGTTGTACTTCATCACAGCTTTCCCATAATCCCACACCCTAGCATACTGCTCCCTAGCTGAACCAAATATCAGTAGTTTTGCCCTACACCTAGCTAGCCATGCCTTATAGTAACTCACATCAACTCCTAAATCATTCAAAATCCTAGCCCTAATCTCCTTAATTCTCCAACCAGGGTTACTCCTAAACTCTTCTAAATACCTCTCTGCTATGTATTCAGCAGTAAGCATCTTGTTCTTCTTTACTCTGAAGCAGGAATGGTCTAAATTCAAGGTTTTGATTTGCCAAGTTTGCTGCTTAACAAGTTTTGATGCAAACACCTTGAACTGACACTTTACCCCCCCCACACATGTACAAGCAGGCATTCTACAAGTGTAGCTATTGAACTCACAGCCACATCTATATCTACACTGAACTGTAATCCTTTTACTGTCATTATGCAAGTAGTAGAACTCATACCTGTTTTGAATGGCATGAAGTCTTAAGGCCCTCCTCAAGACTGAAGCATTACTGAATTTCTGATTTAACTTCAACTTGATTGGGTTGTCAAAGTCCACATCAGCATTAAACCAAGGAGCATAGTCCTGTTCCTCATCAGATCCACACAAACTCCTTGAATCATCTGAATCAGCATCACTTTCTGGATTCACCTTCGGTTTTCCAACATCCAAATCATTTCTCAACTCTACTCTCTTATCTTTGCCAACCCTGTCATCTACTGCACTCTCCAAACCTTTCCTAAGGCTCTTGTTCACTTTGGCCAAGATCTCCTTTGACCCTTCAATATACCATTCCTCATCCCCTTCATCAAATTCTTCTTCACCAGGTTCCCAATCTTGTCCCTCATCACTCAAATCTGAACTTGAATAACCAGATCCTTCACATCCATCATCCTTTTCTTCATCAAACCTCAACACTTTAGCATTAGCTGAGGCTTTCCTAGGTGGACTCTCCTCCCTTTGTTCAGTTTCTGTCTTCTTAAACCTAGGGCTCCTCCTAATAGTCGATGTATTTGAACTTTCTACCTTCTTATCCTTTTTTTTTGTCTTTGCAGGATTGGGTTGGGCCTCTTGTATGGGCTGACTAGGAGCTTCTGTTGTTACAAAAACCTCAACATACCCCTCTTCATTTACTGTCTCCAAAAGGCCCTTAACCTCTTCACTGTTAACTAGTTCCCTTTTCCCAGTGTTAAAGGTTTTCCCCTTCTGCCTATACCAACAGCTGTAATGCATAGGCACATCCATATCACCATTAACAAAACCATGAATTGCAGCTGTTCTAATCAAATGCACATCCAACTTAGATACTTGAACCTTCCTCTTCCAGTAACACCAACCACCACACCAACACAGCAGCTGCCTGTTTTTGGTTACTCTTTTAGGGACAAAAGCACCTCCCACTCTAAGGCAGATGTCAACCAAACTATCCTTGTCACCCATTATCTACCCACCAGTGAAAAACATATAAAACATATTAAAAGCCATGTAACTATACATGCACAATACGAATAAACAAATCCATCACAGCCACACAAACAAACACATAAAAAAATTGAAAATAAACATATACAAGCCAATGTAGGTGCTCAGTAACATAAATTAATCAACAAACCACACTTGCTAGTTTAATTAACAATAAACCACCTTAATTAATCTCTACTTTCAATTACGAAATCCAATTAACCTAAGTCGCATAGTCAGTTACAGAAATTGATTTATCAAGGCTTTCCTACTGTGGTCCCAAAATTTACCCTAATTACCCAATTATTGCAAGGTTTACAGCAATGAAGCACCAGTAATTGACGAAATTGCTATCAAAGGAGAGCAATTTTACCTTATTTTCTGTGAATTTCAAGCGGCTTTCGCACTTTTGTAGTTGAAGAAGATGATGAAGAAACCCTCCTGAGCTTATCTTCTCCAACGTTGACACCACCCTACACTCCACTTCTCAGCCAAGATCTCCTTTGGTTCAAAAGCGAAATCAATGAAGGTTCAGAAAGAATTCAATGCAGAAGGTTGCTGCGAATTCAATGAAGAAAGAAGTTTCGTGTTTTGCTGGGTGAAAATTGAAGTTCAAGCCAATTTGTGGGACCCACGTTAAATTTCCGTGACGGAAATCGTTAACTGGTGTTAACTTCCAACTTTTATATTTTTGGGAGGTGTTAAAATAAAAGTTTTTTTTTGGGGGTGTTAAAAAACATTTTCAGCCTTTTGTAAGGTGTTAAAATCCAAAATATCCTAAAAATCATGTTTTGCTAAACTAAGATTGTTATAGAATTCAGCTTAAATTTCCATTGAAAAAAAATAAAAATAAAAATCAAAAACAGAAATTTAAAGGCATTATATAGACTTACGTGGTTTGTTTGTCGATTAAGTACACTTTTTATTGAAACTACCTCCGTCTAGAAAAATGTAGTATAAAAATAGTATATTAGTATCAAAATAGTAAAGTTATCTAAAATACTCATAAACAAGCTCTCGTACCTTCTTGGTGTTTTGTGAAGATACACCTAAATAGTTATTGAATAAGAAAAAGTATGTGCGTATATATATACACAATGGTAACTAATTGCATCCATGAAGAAACTAAAGCCACTATTTTATAGCTTAGAAATAGTGTGTACTTGACTTTTAACAACATGCAATTAATCACTATTCTATAGCTTAGGAATAGTAAAAAGTTAACGGTTAACAACACTACTATTTTATAGTTTAGAAATAGTATAATTTTCCTTTGGTTTGTTATTGTTTTGACTTTCATTCTCATTAATTTCCCTTTGATTTTTTTACAAAAATAATGAACTTGTTTATTTGCATGACTTTTATTTTAGCAAAATTTATGTGATTGGCATGTTAGTCTTACTATAACTTATGAGTATAACGTAGTTTAATTATTAGTTTTTATGCAAACGCTATTTTATTATTTTATGAAATAATGATAATAAAACACATTAAAATTGACAAAAAAATAAAATAAAAAAGAGAAGCAATCTTAAATAGTAATAATTCTATATAAATATAATAAGTGGAAATAAGGTGGGGAGAACGTTAATTTAGAACTTATTAACCTTGAACTTATCTGAACTTATTAAACCTGAAATAAGTGAAAATGGCAGACCCTTAGTTGGCGATGTTGATAAATTATTATTTTTTCTTGGATTCCTTGATTGAGTTTGTTCTGAAATCTCTGTGATATCGTTCTACTTTTAAACAATATTTTCTCTTTCCTTTTCCTTTTCTTGGTCATCCCATTTTCAATTCTCCTTCATTGAATGATCATTTATACGTAGTATAATTTATACATACCATCCTACTCTTCAAACACAATTTTTGGTAATTTGATTATCTAATTTATAAGCTTTGGACTTAGTTTTTAAAAGATGGCCAAGCACAAGGCATAATGATGATGCTTTGGCGCCTTAGCTCTTTGAGGCTCAAAGACCTAGATAAGGCGCGTGTCTTTGTGCTTTTTTCTAAGTTACTTCTTGTGCCTTTGCGCCTTATATTGCACTTTATGTTTTAAAGCATCAATAGCTATTTATTTTCCCCAAAGTATACCATGAGACTTTGTTATGGGCAGGTTTTCTTCAATTCTAATGGAGAGAAAAATCCCATATACTGTAATTCGATTTGATAAACTCTTGTTATTGATCACATGGCCCTTTTACCTTTTCTCATATTTTCATTTTTACACTTATTTAATAAAAAATATTATTTCTTTTCTATATGAATAAAGTGCGCCTCACCTACAAAAGGCGGGCACCTTCGCCTTGCGCCTAGGCTATGAGGACTCTTTTCGCATTGCACCCTTTAAAACTAAGGCTTTGGATTGTGAACTGTATCCAATGAAGATACATTTTTCACCTCGATTATCTAACTTCTTTCTCTATGCTTTGGGTATTTTAGCATAGGCTATGCACTCAAACACTCGAAAATGTTCTAACATTTGGGTTCTTAGTTCTCACCACTCCATGCTTCTTGTGGAGTTATATTCTTCACACTTTTCGTTGCACAACGATTTAGAATATAAGTTGTGCATATAACTTCTACCCAAAATTGCTTCAGTAATCCTTTGTCTTACAAGATGCTTTGCGTCATGTCTAAAATTTAATGTATACTCACCCCTCGATTTTAGTGTGTTCAATTTATATCCGCTCTCTAGCTTCACTTAAGCCACAAATTGCACAAATGTATCAAATTGTACCTCGGTGTTAAGTTGCAGCGGAAACATGTGATTCTTCGCCATTTTTATTTAGCAATAAGTCTTCCACTTTTATCTTTAAGGGTCCACCTGGATTCCAAGAACTAATTAAGGGAGTAAAAAAAAAATGGGGCAAAAATTACACTAGGGTTTGTTATGGGGTGATATTTACTTTTTCAAGAGTTAAAAGCAAAACTTTCTTTCGCTTCATCCTCCATGGCAAGCAAAGCTTGAAATAGAGCTACACCATTGAACGGACCACCAAATCAACCACCTTATAAACCCAATCCCACCTTGCAAACTACCATTAATGCCCTGCTTATCAAAAATAAACAGCACATCTTGAAAAATAAAAAAAAGGAGAGGCGAAAGAAAGAAAAAATTCATCAAAAATATTTAATGAAGGTATAATTCAACTCCTTCGTGGTAAAGTTTGAGCGTGAAGGTTGTTGATCTGATGAAATTATTGGTCAATTTTGACCGCAAATGAGTTAAATTTAACACAACTTGTTCATAAAAAATGGAGTAAAGATGAGACGACGATAGAAGGGAGATCGTGGTTGTAGTCGGTAAGAAGCCATGGCACTGGGTGGCGGCGAAAGGTTGAAGATGGGCTGGTGCCTGGTCGTAGGAGATAAAAGAGAAAGAGGAGAGAGAAGGAGGAGAGAGTAGTTGTTGAGGGGAAAATCATTATCCTTGGGGCCTGGGTAATTTTTTACCCCTATTTTTAGGGGAAAAGCATTACCCTAGGAGAGTAGTAGTTTGTCTTGTCGATTTTTATTTTTTTCTTTGATCTAGTAACAATGTAGGACTTTCCTCATTGTTTTTTGAAGATTAACGTAATTTGAACGATTTCCCTAATCCTTTTGTTTCCTCCAACACTCGATGCACAATGTCCATATTTTTGATGATAATAGTATTGAATGTATTTTGTTTTACCACATTCTTTGAAATTCCTTCCTTTGTTTGACTCTCTTCCATGGCCAAAATTTCTCTCACTACTTTGGTTGTAGTTACCACGACCTCTTCCTTGTTCACAAAATCCACGTCGTTGATTTCCACCTCTTTATTCATTTGATGACAACTTTGATTCAAGAGCATGTTCTATCACGACTAGTAAATCATTATTCTTAATTCTTTGTTCATGCGCTCGAAGCGATCCAAGAAGCTTTTCCATTGATAATGTATCAATGTCTTTAGATTCTTTAATTGAAGTTAATACATGTTGAATCTTTTATTACAAGATTGTAGTACTTTCTTGACGATCTTAGCGTCTTTAATCATTTCTCTATATGTTTTTGCTGGTTAACATATGTCATTTTGATATCTTTAAATTCACCTCGTAATGCTTGTAAACGGATTTTTCTAACTTTCTTAACTCCTTTAAATATTGTTGCGAGAACATCCTAAGCTTCCTTGCTTGTGGTTGCATTCGAGGTTTTCACAAATGTTTCGCGGTCTAATCCTGCATAGATAAAAAATAATGTGCTTTAATCTTTCTTCTGATTTTCTGTAAACTCGTCTTTCTTTTTTTTAGTCAGTGCCGCTTTTGTCTCATTTGTTGATTTTTCAAACCCATCATTAACAATTTCCCACAAATCATGAGACCAAATAATGCTTTCATTTTAATGCACCAATCTTCATATTAGTCTTTGGATAATTGGGGTACTTAACCTCGCTCTGATACCTAATATAGGAGTAACACAATTTATGAATTGTTAACTCAAATAATAAAAAAGATAAATGAAGGAGAAGCAAATATGGGTTGCAACCTAAGATAACTAAATTTCAATTATGTGGAATATATATATTCATCAAATACAAGACAATAAAGAGTCCATTTATGTAGGAGTTACAAAAAGAAGTAAAGTCATAGGGAGTTACAAAGGGAGTCATAAACGTTGAGAGAGTTACAAAATAATAATGGATATTCAATATAGTATTTTACAACAGTTCATACTTTTTAGTCATAGTTAAATCATTAATCACTTTCCTCCACTACCTATCATAGGTTTATAGCATGTGTAAATGATGTTAAAACAATTTGCAAAGTTGTTTGATCATCATCTAATGCAGTAGTTGAATGCTACAATTCAAACAATACACGCTACATTATCAAGCAGCTCACACCATAGAATAAAAACTCGGTTGTGACATCGCGATGCGGCCAAGATGTAATGGATTGAAGCTTGTCGTTACGAGATTTACCGTTTTGTAACGGAATTTTAAAAAAACACCG